GATATATCATGTTCTACGGGTCAAAATACCTCTGAGACAACTTTCCAGCGAATTTGGGGATCCGAGATGTTCTGGCGCCTTTTGGCGCCGGCGCTTCTGACGCGAGCGCCAGGCGTTCTAGCGGTAAACAAATGTGATATTCGTGTTCTACGGGTCGAATTACCCCCGAAGGCAAGTTTCTGGCCAAATTCACAGTCAATGACCAATTTCGATAAAAATCCGGCTCAGTTCTCGAGGAGTGGGGCAGTAAAGGGTAAATAGTGCCTGACATGTGTCTTTCTACTCAGGTCTCTGCTAGCAAGTCTATCTAGAGTGGGTGAATTTACTATGCGCTCATGAACAAGCCATAGATAGGAAACATGCATCTCTGTGTAGTGCGATTTATAATACCTAGTTTATTTGGTTTCGTTCCCTGCTCGGAATGCAGTTTTTCCGGAGGAAATTTCAGCGTCTATTCCAGGCAAACCCCGTATTTGGATGGTGGAACCAAAAAACAATGTCGATCAAAACGCCTCTTCTCGTTGGGACATTGATGACTATTGGAGGTCGGTAGATGTTTCAAGTCTTGTATAGAGGAGAAATATCGGCCGATAGCACATACCATTCCATATAGGTCGTTCCGTGTGTAGTTTACCTTACATTTGATCGAACCTGCTGCCCCTCACTGAAGCCACGGCTCGGCATTGTATGCCAAGAGGTAGTCCTTCCCAATATAGGAAAAAGGAGTCCACATACCTGCGACACTGCCGCTGACTAAAACGTGCTCCGTAAGGACGCGGACCTGTCGCATCAGCGTCCAGATGGTGGTTGTGTGGGTTGCCTGAGATTTGGTTTTTTTTGACTCTCTAGCAGTTATAGAAGTGCAGTGTCAAGTTTAAGGTGTGAACCGCAAAAATGAAGTCGGTTACAGCTACTGACGCATAGGTACATCGTTTTCGTACATTATTTTCAATTGCAAGGCCAAGACGAAAAGGCATACGTGGCTATATTTCCAGTAAACAACATCTTTTCACGTAAATAAGTCCTGAGCTCAGATTAATGGTCGATAGGCATAAAATGTTGATCGTTTAGGGCAAACTCTTTACGGCATACTTCCAATATTCAACTCTAATCAGAAGTGGATAATGATGGTTGCACGTGTAGTGACAGGATTCGGTGCAGGTAGGCCACGAGTCTGTTTTGGGCTTTCCAATGACCGATTACGGTGAAAAGGACAAGAATAGCACCAAAAAATGACATTTTATTGGAGTCAGAACGGACAGTAACAGATGTGCAATTGAGTAAGTTCAGGATCGCTGTCGGTGCTGAGGGCATATGCTGCAACAGCTTCTGTACCACGTGATCGACTCCGAGCCGTTTCACTCGGTACGGCCGGATTTGTGCTCGGCCTTTCCTTCGGACCCGCCATACAGGTACCAGCATTATTGAGATGGAGAAGGGAGTTGGTCTGAAAGTTCATATTCATCAGTTGGGTCCTTAAAGGTAAAGTTCGGGCTCAGAACCACCTAAGAAGCCCTTACCATGGCTAGACGCAAGTGCAAAGGTAGCGCCACCTTTCTACATCGAAACGCGTCACTAGGACCCTAGGCGCCATGGACTTCTAACAGACTCCACCAAACTTAACATGGTCCGCCCACCGTTCGATATCTTGTCTGCGTCGCTGCGTTGATCTGCTATGCTCTCTCTTCTCGGACTTCTCTACCGCTCTCCGCGCTCACATTATCTCTCATCTCCCTGCCTGTCTTTTGAACTTCTCCACAGCATAGAGCAAAATGCTCGTATTTCCTGTGTATTTCAGGATTTTCTTTCCTTTTTTCTCCACTGGCGGTCCACCTCCCATCCCTACTTTCACATTTGAGTGGAATCAACCCATCAATTTAATCCTGATTCTTGTCTTTAAGTACCTGCATGGTAAAGCACTCTTCCAAAACACTCTCTCCCCACTATCACCGTTTATTGAAACGGCAGCCATGGCTCCCAAATCTGAATATAAGTGTGCACCTAGTGCATCAAAGATGTATGGACTAAAATCATGGTCTTACTAACGATATTACCTATAAGATGGCTTTGAGTTCTTCTTCACATCTGTGTGAAAGTAACTGATAAAAGGTGGTATTTCTTTGCTCAGATGTGATATTTCATTTCACTGGCGTATTGATATGAACTACAAAAAAAATTCTCGCCTCTGATAAGAGTAAGCGTTTTCGTTAGCCATATTTTTTGTTGAGCGCCTACCTTAGTTCTTTTATATGAAGAATCACAGACCTGACATATTATTCGCCCATCTAGAAGTAAGTAATGATTTATGTGTTCATGGAATTTGCCTTAAAATGCTTCAGGAGCTTCTACAAGAACTTAGATGCTCCGAAAGCTATCTTCGTTTTCTACTCTAGTTGTATTTTTTGGTGTGCCTTCTAGCATCACACGCCAAACGCACCACAAGTTTGAAATCTCCTTCTCCTTGCCATCTTCGAAGCGAGTGGCCAGGTAATTGGGCTCATTTGACTAACAAGTGATAGTACTCTGATCAAAGATTACATGCCTTCGAGGTTTATGCCTCGATTTCTCTTGCATTCTATTAATACATCGATTACAGCGCAGATTTTAAGTTTTTTCTTATCTCGTGGAACCACCTCGATTTTGCAAACGCATCGCGGATTTAGATGTGAGTAGAGAGGCCATTCTAGAATCCGTGGAAATATTTCCAACAGCACTGAATGTGTTTAAGTTATTACAAGTTACAGAAGGAGCTTGGTGGATGAAGTTATGGCACTAAAAAACAAGTTTTAATAGCTTTTGGTATAGTGAACTGAGATTGTACGTTCTTTTAAAGCTTGTCAGTTAAAAAATAAACTACCTTGTCATGTATTGACTTATTCTTTAAGACAAGCATTAGGAGTCCGGGATTTATAACAAGTGCAAAAATATAAAAAAGCCTCGTGCAAAAAATTAGGATAGGCGGCCAAATGACATCGGGGTCTTTCGTCTTCCGCTGTCCACAGGGTGCGTTAAAAACGACCGATGACCTTGCGTTGTTCATCAGAATGTAATATAGAGCCATTACTAAGGGAAACAGTGCCACTAGCAACCGATCATCATATCAAAGATGCTTAGCCATTCTTAAAAAGTATAGGCATTGGTATGAAATTTTTACATGGAACAGTTGAAATGCTCAAGTCGTTTAAGCTGAGTGCAGCCGTTGATGGGAAGCAGGATCGACCCTATCGTTGGCACTTTTTGGAATTTCTACCTCTCCTCCCCTCAGACCCAAAAAATCGTTATATCGATAATCGGGCAATATAATATAAAAACTAGAGGTGATAGGGCTGTGGAAACGGTATTGATAGCAGATTTTAAGTGGCTGAATTCGCGCTTCGCGATTGGACTCGTTTGGGATCGGGAAAAGTACGAGGGTTCTGTTGTGCTGACGAATTTTTCTTCATTAAACTTCAGGTGCTTCGGAAGATGGAGGTGGATTTTGAGTCAACGAGGCTTAGCCTAAATTAAGCTTATTTCTTCTCAAACAATTTGAAATGAAGAATTTATTAAGCAAGAAATGAAATTGCACTACAATTTTACCTTCCTCTTTCTAGGGCTATAACTCTTATATCGGCGTTGTGCGAGGAATTATTTGATTTGAAAGAACAACCAGATCCTTTTACAATCTGTACTATTTTCTGAAAGCTAAGTTTACAAAGTTCAGACCTTGGAACTTTTCTGTGCCCCACTTGCGATTTTCGAACCCTTGAACGATTAACTTGTTAGTGTCGATTTCGAAGTTAACTAGGGTTAAAATTAGATTCAAGACTTCTTACAAGATTTTTTGGAGGGGTATTCTTTGAGTCATTTTCTTGAAACGTGGTTTTTTTTTAGGTTTCACTGGCCGTAATCTTCAGGGAAAGCAATTCCATGTTGAACACATGATGTGTTAGAAGGTATCGAGCATGCGCTTGCACCGATTCCCTGGTTGGGTTGTAGTTGGCGTCATGCTCGGCCGGCTTTTGATTTGCTGACTATTTTTATAATCATTTGAAGAGAAGCGATGGCTTTATAAATGCTTATATCTTGCTGGTTAACGTACCTGCTGGCTATTACCATGTGGTCTCGGCAATGTCCTAGCTAAACTCAGTTGCATGCGGGTCTATGACTGTATCATGTCATGGTGTGGGAGTACTTTTTTGAATATACTACTGTCTGCTAATGTGTTTCTGCAATTTCTCTGCTCCCGCTGCCAGCCGCGCAGAGAGAGTGCGACACCACTTCGTTACAAATACGATTTCCCCCCCCTTGGTATTGTCGCACATAGGGTTGACGTAATGGAATTTATTTAGATATTTCAAGAGGAACAGATCTCTCTCCTCCTGACAAAGATTTATTGTTTCAAAATAACCTCACTTACCATTACTGCCCCCCCCCCTTTGAGAAGAAGCAGGCCTTTCTTCACAATTGACGTCATTTGCTGTCACCTTCAAAGTCAGCGAGACCGTTAGTAATCGCTCCAACCTGGAGCCTTGTATATTTCTTCATCTACTTCACAAATAGATGCTTACAGCACTTCCACGTGGAATATGCAATACGTCTCACCGTCTTTTCGGATTTCCTCTAAATGGTCTACTATCCGTCGAGCACCTCGTTATGCCCGAAGCGTGCACAATGCTTTTGTGAAAAATTCTTCTGAAGACTTTGGTGTAGAAGGATGTTGTGAAGTCGCTTCAAGAATGAGAGGTGTTTTCATTTCAGTCGGAGCACTTTTCTTGCTTTATTCAAGGTATTTATCCTAAGAACGCTGAAGTGATTGCACAAAACTTTCGCCCCAGACTGTAATTAATTCCGTTCTGAAGTTGAGGAAGAGTGTCAATTTTTTCGCCTCCCCCTCCTCCCTGTGCACATTATAATTAAGAAGTACTCAAGGTCTTTTTTCAGGCTGCGTTCACACCTTGGGACATCGGCATTCATATGGGGCGCATCGTTTTGAATATGTACACGGTACCTGCGTTCTTCATGGTTTTGGTGTCCATAATTGGCTGTGTCATTGTCGCTATATCATTCGAAGGAGGATTACGCCGGAATTGTCAAGAAGGACGAAAATGGTTTGATTCCTAAATTATTCCATCACTCATCCCAAAACCTACGCAGTCATGGTTTGTAGCGAAACTGCTCTTCCAGCCTTCTCTGATGCTTTTTTTGCTAGAGTGCCTCAAGCTTCTGTCAGTGACCCTGGCACCTGAGTACAGAGGGTGCTACGATTCAGTATAACCTGTTGCAAACGATGAGTATACCGCAGTTTGACCTGAGCCTCCCTCTAGGAGGACTGGAGACGTCCACGCTATGCTCATTCTCTTACAAACAGGGCGGTGGTGGTAAGATTTATCTACATGGCCCTTAAAGGAATCTTCCACGGACCATGGACCAGTGGGCGGGACCGGAAGTTTTTGTGACGAAATGCATGGTAGGTACGGATCCACGTGTCGAACGCACGAACGTGAACAGGATTCACTTCAAACCTTCCCATGAACGTGGATCCGTACCTACCATGCATTTCGTCGCAAAACCACTTCCGGTCCCGCCCACTGGTCCATGGTCCGTGGAAGATTCCTTTAACGTAACAAGCCTCTCAAGGTGAGTTCCCATAAGAGAGGAAGAGCCGAGAGTATACCTGCCTGCCTGGAGTGATCGCCATTCATCATTAACACACAGTGGTGAGTGGGTTGATGGAGAATGTGGCATCGCCTATAACGCGTTGTTTCTCACGGTTACCCTCGTGAGAATTTCTTGGCACCACGTAACCTGAATCTCGCTAGTTTGGCTGCCTTATTAGCAAATCTTTCTTGTTATTTTTGCGTGTTTTGTTCTCATTTGAAGTGCGACCGTGTTTTTCCTCTGGACGTGGAATGGTAGACAATAAACTACTAACAAAGACCACTTTTCTCAAGCACGAAATAAAGGCCCCTTTCCTTAAGCAAGAATGAATGCAGTGGAGAAATGCAGATGACCGTGCTTTCGTTTTTAATACATAGCCTTCCTCGATAAAAGGGAATTGAGCGATTGCAGGTGCTTTTCCTGGAATCCGTTGTGCACGTGGAGACTCGCGTTTACGTTTGATAGATGTTACCTATTGAAATTTTCCACATACGCCCTAACTGCAGTACTAATACTAACAGGATATCATTCTCAGCTTTTATGTCCTATTATGCAGTCTACAAGAAAAATGCTGGATGTTTACAGAGTTGTGATCAATATACCAGTTCAGCTCCAGACGTTATCACGCGTATTCTCGATGAGCTTCAGTGAAACTGTGGAGGGTCTAACACAGTCAATAGTGAGATGGTTAATGGAGTATCTCATGCTGATATTCCATGGGTCCTCCAGTTTCGCTAAAGCCTGCCGTGTGATGCGCGCGATAGCGGGCGAAGCAAAACTGGTACAGTCTATAAACCTCTACAATGAGCTTTCAAAATAGCTATGATTTTCATGGAACCACACATAGCTTTCCCACGACTCATATTTTTCGGTACCTCTCATTATTTCAGATGATCCTTTTGTTGTTATTCCTAAGTACGACGTGCTGCCGGCAATGGTATGCATTTATCTCTGGATGATATTGTGTATGGTAGGAGTTAATATTGAAGTGTGAGTAACATTTTAATAGGAGAACATGTCGTAGGTGACAACTAAAGTCTTGGATTGTTACATATGGAATTCCATGGCGTCATTAAAAAGGCTTCAAATCACACCATTGTCTTTTTGAGAAAAATTCATCCCACTTCCAAATTTTACTGATGAATTCAAACTTAATACCAGCATCCGCCTTACAACCCCTTCTTCTTCTTCTTCTTCTTCTCCCTAGCGTTAGTCCCGCGCAGTCGCAGGGTCCGCTGTCTTTGTCAGTCGTCGCCACTTTGCTCTGTCCAGGGCATCTTCTGCTGTGGCCGTGACTTCACTTAGGTCCTTCTTGATTACGTCCTCCACCTCTTCTTTGGGGCTCCTCGCGGTCGCTTGCCTTGCGCTTCGAAGTCCATCGCTTTCCTTATCGGATGGTCCTGTGGCCTCCTTAGCACGTGCCCATACCATCGCAGACGCTGTTCCCGTACCTTCAGCTGGACAGGGGCAGTCTGCATGACCGCTCTGACATCCTCGTTTCTGACCCTGTCCAGTCGCGTCCAGCCGCAGGCCCATCTCAGCATCCTCATCTCAGCGGAGTGAAGCTGCCTTTCGTGATTCTTGTTCAGGGGCCAGCACTCGCTGCCGTATAGCATCGCAGGCCTACCACTGTCGGTACACCTTCCCTTTGAGCGTTCTGGAGCACCTTCGATCGCAGAGGATTCCAGTGGACTCCCTCCATTTCATCCATGCCGCGTTGATTCGTGCCTTCACTGCCTGATCCACACTTCCGTCGGCTGCCAGATCGCTCCCAAGGTATCGGAAGTCCTCCACTCTTTCGATGTCTCTCCATGGCCGTCCACGATCGGCTCTGCACCCTCTTCAGAGCTCAGGAACTTGGTCTTCTTGACATTCAGCCGAGCCCACCTTCTGCCAGGCTTTCTGCCATTTCTGCACCTTGGCCTGAAGTTCTTCTCTGCTATCCGCTATCAGGGCGATGTCGTCAGCGTAGAGGGTCTTCAGTGGTCCTTCCATGAGCCCTTCACCAGGACATCTAGTGTAGGAGGAAGAGGAACGGGCTCAGAGCTGACCCTTGGTGCACCCCAACCGTGATGTCCACTTCCTTCGTTAGGCCGTGTGGGGTGCGTATAGCTGCCTTCGCCCCATCGTACATGTCCTTCACCAGAGAGATCAGGTGTTCTGGTTCTCCCTGAGCGCTCTCCATAGTACTGCTGGTAGCCGGTCGAACGCCTTCTCCAGGTCGAGGAAGGCTAGGTAGCAGGGTCGGCGCTTTTCTCGATACTTTTCCATCACTTGCCTAGCGATGAAGATGGCATCCGTTGTAGACCTTTCGGGCATGAACCCGAACTGTTCCTGGGAGATCGGGACCAGCTCCCGCAGTTTCGAGTCGACCAGTCGCTCGTACAGCTTCATGGTATGCGCAGTCAACTTGATCCCGCGGTAGTTGGAGCAGTCCATCGCGTCACCCTTCTGCTTGAAGATGGGGACGATAGTGCTTGTTCTCCAGGCATCCGGCATCCTTCCTTCGGTGGTTACCGTGTTCAGGAATTGGGTGAGCCATCCCACCTCCTCCTGACTTCAGTTGGCTTCCTCAGGATGGCACCGTTACTGCTCTTCACGCTCTTCACCACCCTAATGTCTTGGGTAGCCCGATGCCGGGCTTTGGCCAGTCTGAAGACGAACTTC